GGGTTAACATGAACTCATGGCAGCAAATGCGTCAGCAACAGCCCTGTTAGTATCTCTTTCCTTGTCAGTAACCAAATACCTCAAACTTTGGTAGACCCGGCAAGAGAAAAAGTGAAGCAGGCACACACCAACTATCCGTCCCTCAGGAATAATTCACTTACGGATAAAAACGTTTGACTGGGGCTTAAATAAACAAAGGTCAGATAGTGAAATTGGGCCTAGAATGTTGGTGGGAGACAAGCGGTTATTAAGGCAGTTTGGCAGGCTCGAGTTCGGTAATCCTAACAGTTCTGTGCCCAAAAAACCCGAAAACAGCTCTTTGAGAAATACCCCATCATCCGACCGTACCAAAACAACTTTGATTAAAAAAGCATTAAAAACGTACTCCTGATAGGGCACTATCTTGTGTAATTTCCACAGCCTAATGGCCAAATTAGGCCAACTGCCTTCGATGAGCAGTTAGAGTGGGTCTATGAAATTGAATATTCGATACCGCCCTTGCCTGGATGCCTGGAGTGTGCAATATTTGATCGCAATGTGGTGAATTGATTAGCAGCGAAAAACAAGCCAAGAATCACCAAACCGGCATTGAAGTAAAAATTACGACAACCTAAAATGCACTTACTGTGACAGGCGGAGGGGGAACGTTACAACTGACAACCTGAGAACCTCCGATGCTCCGTATTGGAAGACTAAGAAAAATTATTTAACCAGTTTTCAGTGGTAAACCCCTTGCAATTAGAACAATTTAGTTTTAGCAAGTTGGCCAAAGTATGAGGTTTTCGAAAATATTCTATATTTAGATTTTATATTGGCGAAATAAACATACCTTCTTATATATTTAAAGTAGTACAATTTGCAGGGGCTCTTTATATATTGCTCGATATACCTGTTATGAAAATTTTGCACGGGGGCTTATCGTAAGTATTCAACAGCAATGAATTCCTAGAGAATACCAACCTCTGTAGCTTTGAGAAATTCAACATGTCATAATGACCTCACCAAAAATGTACCACTGCCTTCGGTTAAAATGAGCTACCTCACTACAGTAATCATACTTTACGTGGAAGGCAACTTCTTTGAAAATCTATAATTAAACATTTACGTGACTAGTTCGGTATTTTCTATAGTGTACATAAAGTTACCTGAACATCTCTCTTGAGAACCTGCTCTAAGCTTTCCGCAAATTATGACTTCAGGCGCAACAACTGATTACTCCGCGGTGATCCCTTTTGGGGGACTAGTAAGACACTTTTAATTTAAATAGGCTAATGCCAGCCCTAGAATTCTAGAAACCTATTTTCAAGAAAATTTTTGCCCGTCTAAAATTTCAGAAAACTTGGCCTACTCTATGATTCTCAATAGGAAACCACGGGAAATGCGATGAAGCTGATTGACCAGTTTATAATAGCCGTCTATTTCAATGGGATATTTCTATATTTCAGGTTCTGATTCAACTGATCCGGGTAAGAACAGCAGATTGTGCAGGTCAAACATACGTGACCCGCCGACCGAGCGATTTGCTTAGCGTATTGGTTTTGCCCAAGAACAGAACCTAAAGTGGCTTGGGCCACACAATCTACTGCAAGTTTAAGCAGTAGATTGTGTGTCGAATGTGGAACGAGTCATCGTCGAAAATCGAAATATCTGGAAGAAAGAACAAAGAGGAAGCAAAGGAACACATTAAGTGGTCGAAACTCAAGAAACGGCGTCATTTAGCGGAACTAAGTCGACGAAACACGAGTCTACTTTGGACTTTCAGTAGTTCTTGTCAGGGTCCTGTCAAATAAGTTTTTACACCTACCAAGTTGAATCGACAGTGTGTACAAGACATTTTCTGATTTCTAGAAAACTTTATGTCGTACTTTAGGATATCACAGAACAAGACATTGTTAACAATCCGACCGGATAGTACGCTGCGAGCAAACGAATAATGCACTCAGCGCTTGCAATTTAAGTCTATAAATACATTTCGGGAAAACTATTTTGGGACGAATTCCGGACACATAATTTCTGCTACAGCCAAAAATGTAGTGTAAGAGGGCTCGTATTTGTGTATGTCAGCTTGAGTTTTAGCGTTTCTCCAAAACTGAGTAGCTCGCGGTCTGCGCCACGTCGGAAACTTCAGGACTGCAGCCGGTATACCCGTGCGATCTGATTGTTTATGAGGTTGGGTGTCGGGGGAAGTCGTCCAGGGAGTTTGTTTGACTACAAGGTCGTGTTAGTCTAAAGGAGCCATCAGGTGCCAAGTAATGAGGCTGGATGACTGACAGCCCCCGCAGGAAGCGTCTAAAGTGGTTAAGTTAGTAAGGCTCAATTGCGGGCAAAATAACTGCATAGGAGAAAGTAGGAAACTACACTGGACGCGGATGGCCGAACACGTCGCAGCGGCGAGAAGGAGCAACGTTACTCGTTAGCTCGCAATCCATTTAATCAGACCCAATTACACCTTAACGTTTGACGACGCCGAACTGTCCACGCAGGAAAACAACCGCATGAGGGGTTGTTTGATTTATGCTTCTCGGGTCCACTGTGGACTTGCCCATGTAGTGACCTCCCCCACCATATTCGTTGCCTAAAGTTTGCCTGAACACAGTAGTTGACCACGCCGTTAGGACGCGGTGAAAACCGCTTTCAAGGACAGCATCCAAAAACCAAATGACAGGTAAGGGTTAAGCGTGTGGGCGGGGTAAAGAGAACTAGGAAGAACTGCCTGCAATATTTTTAAAAGAGGTGCTGTTCGATAGAGTTTTGGTCGGTCATCTGGCGACCTGTATTGCCCCGAGGAGTCGGTGCTGCTGGAATATCTACGTTGGTTCACCGTTCTGCGTGCCCACGCGTAGTTCTTTAGTGGGGCAAAAGCACGGAGAACACTCAGATAGTAAAAAGTACTCGAAATGCAATGCCTGCGTCTGCTAGTAAAGCGAGAGTGTTAAAACTGTGGCGAAATTGTTAGACAACGGTTGGCATTTTCCTAACCTGCGCATATACCTAACCCCTACCATATGACGGAGTAACTAGTATGCACTAAATAAAACCGGTGACGGATAATGCTGCAATTAACGACTCGGATGTATACAAGCATGCAATCGTCGCACCAGTTAGAATCGTCAGCCGTTAATGCGTGAGCTGTAAATTGTGGTCAGTATGTGTTGGCATAGCATCTACATTCTATAAATACCGCCCCGTATTTGTCCCTTACCTCCGTCTCCGACGATGGATCTTAATAAAAATCCGAAAAGTCAGCCGAATAAATGTCTTGTTTTAGCGCTCGAATCTCACTCTTCTGAACTGTTTCCCCGAACTCACTTCTATGCTTATATATACATATATGGTTTGGCTGAATGTGCATTCAACAACCGTGCCAGCTGTACCCGTCCTGCCGCTGGACCATCAACCTGCTCCACGATGTCGACCGCGCCAACGTCAGAGCTGTGGTCAGGCAAGACTGTGTGCGTCGCCGCCTGTGACCTCTAGCCAAGCTTCCGCACAATTCGGTAATGTTTGCACATTTTCGTCTATAGTTTCGGCCAATCCACCATACGTAGTTGAATCCACCACAATTACATCGTTGTCAGTGGATGATGGATAATTTTATCTGCTTATTGGTTCGGCTCTTCGGTCGCATCGCATGGCGCAGAAACGTCGAGTCGGTCTTTTGCACTCTTCTGCCATCAAGTGGCCTCAACACTCTTTCGATAACGCCCTAACGTACAAGAAGGCCCGCTGTCATGCGGGTCTGTCAACATTTTTAAGTTTGCTGTCTTTTGATTGCCGGTTTCGCAAGTCGAAAATCGGCGTGAGTAAGTAAGTGTCACAGACCTTCCCATGGCTAATGAACTTAATTCACCTGGCTGCTAGTGTGCTATAAGACGTGCCTGCTAGCTAGTAAGGCAAACAAGTGGCTGCCGTTTTGTTTGCCGATGTTTTATCGGTTTCTTATTGGCAATATGTTATTACCGAAAAAGGCAAGGGAGACTGGAATGGCCATTTCTGGCTTATTAGACGTCGTCAGTTAGTCATGCCAAACCCCGAAGTGTGGAACACCCGGCCTCGTATTATCCTTTGACCAGTGGACTGGCATCCAATAAGGACATTTAAAAAGGGTGGCCGTTCGCTCACTTCTTCCTATGCAAGTTGGCGAATTTGAGGGATAATCACTTTGAGTTGGACTCTGATGTACCCAATGTTGCCTCAGCTCATAATGACAAAGGTGTAATCGGTCTATGCTTAGCATCTGGACTGGCACGTTCGAGGCAGTTTAACTTCTGACCGTGATGGAAATAGCTAAGAATGGGGGAATCCATTGGTAGACCATATCTCAGCCCGTATTTTGTGCTATTGAATGTAGGAAACAGCCATTTGGCAATGCTTTAGGACTTCTATGTGGTTCCGCGCTCTTGGTTAGCTGTCAGTGTCATAATAAAGGTCATTTTATGTCATTCATCGTCCCGGCAATGAAGCCGAAGACGGAAGCGATCTCAAGTGACACTGTCCGTACACCAGGCTCATGCCGAAATTCAGACCTCAGACCAGGCAAAGGCAGTTCAATCATGGGATAAATTTTTCTATCGTGTCTACGCAGTAGAGGGCGTATACAGTGGCAAGGCTTACAGTACTCGTACAGAAAGAAGACGCTAGTTTTGATCATGATTACGAAGCCCACATTGGTGTCTGTGATTATTTTGCATTTAGTTAAAACAGAGTCAACAGATGCTGTTGCAATCTTGTAAAAGGGAAATACATAGGTGACTTCTCTTACCTACGACAATACAATGCAATCTACGGTATAAAACTAGTGGGTGTTAAAAAGTTAAAAAATGACGACGCTGAACATCGCCGGAGCAGGATGTGAATGTGTGATATTCCCAGAGTGACTATCAAAATCCGTTCAGGTGGTAGGTTTGACTTAACTCGTCCAGGTTAATGATTCAACGGACAAATTGTGCGGGAAAGGAACCTCGGACATGTACGACCAGTCAGGTTGTCCAGGAAACGGGTCAAGTGAAGAAGGTGAATGGGTTACGAGCATGACCAAGCCAGTTCGATTCATAAGGAGGCCGCAAACCAGCGCTGGCGGAGCCATGTACAGCTGCCGCAGCCGCAGTCGCCTTTGAACTGTTCTCACCGATGCGCTGAAGAAGTTCATTCACATGATTACGCTCAGTCTGCCAGGGCCTCCATCCATGCTGGCAGGTTTGACAGGGATTGGGCGGCCTATCGGGGATCACGCTGTTACTCCCCCCGCCCCAGTAAGCGCACCCACTGCCCCCAACACCGCTGCCGTTGCCATTTACGACATTGGGAGCATGCTGCGCGTAACGCCTGAGTAGTGCCCGACCAACGCGACTGATTAGTCTTGCTCGCAAGGTGTCATCTTCCGTGTCCTCGGCTGTCTGGGTTGCCTTGTCGTGCACTTCAATGAGACAGGCGGCCTCCGGTTGGAGAAAAACAGCATGGCCGTCGACAAGAGGTGTCATCTGTGGGCGATGGGCTCCAGCGAAATAATGCCGAGAGCTAGACGATCACCGGCGTCCTGCGGACTTGCGCACTCCATCGCACCTGCGCAGAAGTTCGAGTGCTGGGTCGCCGTTTCAAAAGTACTGACGTCGCCAGCGCTTCACGGACAAGTGCTGACCACATTAGCATTGTGCGAAATTCTGCCGGCCTGAAATCCCACTGCAGCCATAAAAGTTCTAAAGAAAACTACCGCAAGTGGACAATGAAGGTGCGCACCGTGAATAATACAATGAGCTGCGCAGAAAAACGGGTCCTTCCCTGCCCGCCTAAGTCACCATTCTGACGTACCAAAAGAACCAAAACGAGGTATTCCCTGTAGGAGTCACTGGACCAGAGGATACTCATCAGATTTTTTGTCCCGCACCTTGCCAGCAATCTGATTCTTGCAAGGGGATTGGTGAAATCTGAGTGGCTTTGACGTATTTGATTGTTTTGGCTCTTATTATAGCCCTTAGCAAAGCCGAGAGTTCCGAACTGTGGAAGTGAGATTAGCCGGTGATATACCCTTTTCCATCTCTCTTCCCTGACTCCAAACTTAATTGTCGTTATTTAAAGCGGCGTATCGCAAATATTATGCAGTTGTTATGCTACACTGTAAGGTGTATGAACAGATTTTAACAGTCAGTGACCGATCTTGTGAAATTTGGACGTAACTTTTGAAATTCTTCTAGGATTAAGAAAAATTACTTAAGTAGAGCTGTCATGACGATTATTTTTTCTTAAAATCCCGCAATATTTCGGAGATGTCCGGATTTTGGCTTTTGAAGGCCTTTTTCGGTCACCTTCAAAAAAGGCACCGGAAATAGATGATTACTTAAGTAGTGTGCATTTTAATACCGGTTTTTGATGCTCTTATAAGATTAAAAACTGTTTGCTGAAAACGGACGCATATACTTTGTTTGGCATCGGTTGTATGGCATATCCCGTCTTCTCCAAATTTAATACTCGGAGAAGGGTATCTTTCTGTCTCAAAGAAAGGTTTCTTATGAGACTTTTTAAGACCATGCAACGTCCATTCAAATAGCATCGTATTTGTCTCTTAAATAATGTCCTTCCATAAGGGGACGACATAGTCATAGATGTTGCAAGATTTTATAAGTCCCATATAGTGTTCTCTTACAGTGTCTCATACAGAAAGTATATAGCTCGAAGACTGAAAATACTAAACAAAAGATTTACAGCAGATCAAGTTCAGAATTAGTCGGGAATTTCAAAATTTTTTGAAGCGAAAGCTACCATTGCTTCACGTGTTGAGTGTAAAAAAAGACATAGTTTGCTACCAGACAAATACAATAAATAATATATTTAGATGCCGTCCCTATGATATATTTAAAATTTCAAGGACTTCAAACGTCGGTAAACTGTATACTACGAAAACAATCCATTTTGTCGTTTGCGGTTTTTGCATGTGACCGAAAAGAAGTGCATTCAGCAGCCAACATCCTGACAAATCTAAAACGTCACAGGATTGCTTTGCAAGACGACAAGACCCAGAGTCTTACTCAAGTTATTCTTCCTAATCGGAGGTAAATTCAAGAATTTTGTTTAAAATATCATGAGATCGGTCGCTGACCGCATATCAATCTAAGACCGAAACTATCAACTACTGATGTATAACTTCATTTTATGTTCTCTTGACAATTTTGAAAGGAGCTGGAAATGGTAAAATTTCCCGACTATTTGCAAACATCAAGCAATTTGCCCCATGGCAAACCGCTTCCATTCTGTTCAGAATCACGAAAATGTGCATGCCAGAAGAAGAATTGGCCGAAATTATGTCGGCATTTCTTAACTTATGGAGGCGCGAAAGCTCGTACGACGCCATAGTTGAGCATAAATCACTTGCTGCGCAAGCACTAGATGGGCATTTAAATACAGTGGTGGATAAGCAAATAGAAAATCTATACTTGAGTTGTAGATAGGACTGAAATCATGCGCTGACCCCATAAACCTCTGCCGAATTATACTCGTTAACAAATTCGAAAAAAGAAAATAAGAATTAATTTACAATCAACTTTGGATTAGACTCCTAAAAATCAATCACACCTTTGTAACGGTGGCCGCATCTGTTTTTGCTTGGTTCACGCGGAAGTGTGCTATTTCATCACTCAGTTGAACGCAGCTTTAAAACCTCTGGAAAACTCACATGTTTGAATTCGTTCCAGGATAAGGTACTATGCTGCAAATGGATCATATTACGTGATAGCAGGAGATTTCTGACGTTTGGTTTTAGTCAAAAATTCGATCATAGCTTGAGCTACCCACTTGCCAACCAAGTGATTATCTGTACAGAAACTGCTTTCCTCTTTCTAGTCCCTAATATCCGGTTTTCGCCCCCACGAGCATGAATAATATAGAGTCGAAGTGGACAGGTACTTTTAGACATGAAAAGTTTACACCATTCACAACCAACCCAGGGATTGATTAGGGTATTTCTACCGTTTAGGGCTGACAACTACGGGGCCCTTGCTTGCTTCAACATCACAGACTAAGTGAAATGTAAATTACACACATTTTGACGTAATTTTAGGTTTAACTTTTTTAGATGAATATACCATGAATAATTGACCAGATGTAACTGGTTAAGGTCACTGTTTTCACTTCTATTCTGAAGGACGAGGACTTTTGGTGTAGAGCGTGAATTTTACAGGAATTTATAACGTCCTATCAGGGTTGGCAAACTATGACCGATACCCACTGACGCTTATACTGTTTCGCTCTACATGCGGTGTAGAGTTCCCTTGTGACCAGTGACGCACGGACAACTTTTCCAGTCAAGTCTAAGCTGGTTGTCGTTGAAGCACCTATTTATCCACATTTTTACGGTTGAGGCATTTTTCCTGGAGATATTGATTTGTCGTATTACAGATGGAGTAGGTGAGGTCGCATTTTCATGAGCAAGGTAATTAATTTAACGAAATAAATGCAAGAAAAAGGACAACAGGAGGTTATAAGGAAGAAATGAAAAAGAGTAAGTAAGGAAGCCGTAAAAAGGGGGAGGATGAATAACATGATCAGGAAAATGACGTAAAAGAAAATTAGTAGCAGGCTGAAAATATGCTGATGGAGGAAAAAACGAATAAGAGACAAGCGTGAAACCGTCAAAATGGGGAAAATAGGCATTCATGGAGGTCAAATCCAGTCGGAGTACTTCCAAACCAAACTCGTAAGCAACAATTCACCCAATCGTTACGTACTGGTTCAAGAGTGTGCATTGCATTCTATGGTAAGCAGCACATGTGGTGGTAGATACAAGTAGATGTGTGACTGTTTCTGAATGGAACGGTATTTATGAGTACGTACTAGGGATTGAGCAACTCTCTTCCCAGTCAACAAATTTGCTTTACATAAGGCATTTCAATATAAGTTGCTAGAACCATCACAATTCTTAAATATACTTCCCGCCTCAATGAGATGATAGTAACAAAGTGCCAGCTAGCCATATCCAAAGCCTAGTTTGTAAGACCGGGATTCTTCAGTATTTCGATGTTTAGCCAACTGGTCTTAGGCTGAGTCCTGTTTCTTACAACGTCGAAAATGGCAAAGCTGGCGGCATCCTGTTGCGTCATTTGTACATTAATACGGTGCTTGGAACGCAAAACATGGAGGTCCACACAGAGGCTTTTGTAAAGAACGCATCCACAGAATAGACTAGCATGTGTGCCTTCACAGACCGAATCCAGACATAATCCGATCCACGATACGTCTAGAAAAGCATTAAATACAGAATGAAAGTTTCCGATCTGCATGGGCGCGACGTTAGAAACCATGACATAGTGCATTCTAAATAAACACTTTTTATCCAGCCAAATAAAATACACTCGAAAGAATCGTTTTGTGGCTAAGATGTATTTGGGTAAGGATCGGGTGAAGGACCCCAAGCATCTGCGGCATACAAAGAATATCTACTATACTTATTTAAGTGGATTTAGGTTCGACATTATTATTTCGGTTCGGTGTTCCATTGTACAAGGTTAGATCGCCTGTTGTAGACGATCTAGTGCATTATCTACAATCATTTCATCTCAGAGAGTTGAGAGGCGATCGTTGTGGACAGTCTGGTGGATAATCTACAAAGACCTCTGCCCAGAGGGTTGAGAAGCGGTCGCTGTAGACTGTTAATGTTTATTTTTAAAATTGTCCTGCTTAATTTATGTTGCTATATGTCAATGCATAGAAACATTTCCGCCCGAAAAATGGATTCACCAATCATCTATTCATATTCTGCCCTTCCTCTATGCATACAAAGACCTCGCCTGTGAAATTCCTATAACAACCATTCCCGTAAAACAGGCGCCTTTGGCTGGGGTTCTTTACCCGATCGTTGCTTGTATTTGTTTAGAGACTTCATTACTTCCATTGCTTTAATGTGATAATCTATAAGGCGCGCATAGTAATTCTTTTCTTATATTAATGATAAAGGAAATTGCACTCGCATATATTGAGGCCGATGGAAGATTCTACGTCGGTTTTGGAAAGATTTGCAATTTTGTTAATGCCTGACGCATTGCCACGGAGGGCCGTTAACCTACCACGTCTATGAGGTGTAATTATGCCCTCAGATAATAAAGGACAATCTATATTCACTCGAATATATTGGGAACCTCGTTGTGGCCAATTGGAGGCAAGCCAGCTGACTGCATCGTATTCATGGAATAACAGGAAGGTGCAAAAGTTACGTCGTCTCAATATATGAAGTGGTTATCGTCCCTTCCCTCTGAATGAAACAGATCCATTTTTCACGTATTAAATTGAAAAAGAACGCAATTCTCCACTGCATGCATAGAAGTTTCAAACAATTCTTTTTTCTTTTGCAGGGTACATGACTGAATTTCCATAGGCACCAAAAACACATCGGTATAACTAACGCAACTTACATTTCGGTTCGATCCCAGCGCAGGCTGGACAGGCTACACCAAGGTCAATCAATTCAAAGGTAAACCAATAGCCTTTGAGAAGT